ATAACAAGTGTAATATCCACTAAAGCAAAGCTTAAGTATATAACACCAACAGATTGGCCCCTTTCCGTCGTGTCGTATGTCGATATGCTGTACCTGCAACTATTTACCTTTCCTGAGGTCAAACTTAACCTTAAGAAAAGTCTATCATGAACTAATCCTTCCTGCGATTTCTCAAATTTCAGAATTTGAGAATCGAGGCATTGGATATACTTGAAATGACTGATAAGTCTTGTCTTATTAGACAGACCATCCTTTACTTTGACATGACTAGCCTCAACATTCACATAACTGGATAATCATGACTTGACTTTTACATGACTATTTAACCTTTACTTGAACTCTAGAAGCTATCCCGAGACAATTTAATGGTCGTCTCGGAGTTTGGAACATGATATTTACTGACTTACTTGGCTTGATAAGGTACGACTTCAAGTTTCAAGGTCAATTTGGATTACTGATTTGTACATATATCAGACCTCCATATTTAACCCGGCTTAATAACTATTATACATCGACCCTGAACTCATGAACATTGACATTAAATCGTGAACATTGACTTATGACCATGTAGTATATAGGGCTACTCCAGCAACAACTGGTCCCGCAAGTACAAAAGGATTAACTGATTTTTGAGCTTTAAAAACCATAACTTAGAATATCATGATTGGTAAAATACATGACATGACTGATTTTAAAGGTTTTTATTACATGAAATTATCCTGTTCTGGTCCCAGTTTCAAGTCTCCATGGTATACCCGGAATATTGACTCTTATACACTGGAAACCGTTACTTTTGACAATAGCCTTAAGAATTGTAACAACCTCTAGCATGAAAAATTAGCCTTGACCATGATTTACTGATCTGACTTAGGAAATTTGAGTCCATTCCCTGATCTAACTCAAGGAATTCCTCCTTAGAATGTGCCAACTGGTTGGAAAAATGGGCAATTTTCGATAGAAAATGTTTGAGGAACATGATTACTAAGATTTATATAACATAAGTGCTTACAAATCTCTTGACGAGTTGCTTAACATGGCTGGGAAATACTGACATTAATCATGGATATACTGAACTAGGAATTCTGAACAAGATTCCAGCATCTCAACTAAATTTTAACTGAGAAATTTATGAGCATAGACATAGTAATTTGTTTATAATTTAAAACATGAATCAGCACTTACCTATAGTCGGCGAGGCGTGAGCGTGACGTGTTCAGGTTTTAGTAAATTTCTGACTCGTAAAAATTTTCAGAGACGCAGAAACGTGCTCTGATACCAACTGTAACACCCCGCTATTTCATGAAAATCAGAGTGCGTTTTTCGCAAAATTTTTCAAAATAAAAACATTTAATTTGCGAAATACTGATTCGGAGTGCTACCATAAAACATGACTAAATCTGAAAAACCGTTATTTTAGTTTTAAAGAAAACAAACGGTTTAGCATAACATATTAACCGACTGAAGTCGGATCAAAAGCTAAGTTCGACAAGTAGTCGTAATCAGCGGAAAGACGTAGCGTCGCCAAAACATTTTTAAACACATGACCAAAATCTTGAACCGACCGCCAGCTCACTCCTTGCTCCGACCCTGTGACCTGAAATACATGAATAATGTAGGGGCGTGAGCACTAAATCCACTGTGCTCCACAGAAACTCATACTAAAGGATAAACCAGTCTACTCAGCCGGTCAAGAAGCTCGAACTAGGAGGAAGCCAAGACAAGAAGCGGGAGGATCGGTCATTCAGATAGTCGACTAGGCGGGTGGTCGACCAGTCCAGTGCACGACCAGACAAACGATCAAGCAACCCATCACTCGACCAGATACATGATCGGGCAACCTATTTGACCTCAACAGGTCGATCGCTTCGAGGAACCAACAGTTGGCCTAGCGCGTAAGAGCCTCTAACTGAATCCCAGGAGAATATTTACCCCATGTGCAGGGGGGACACGTGTCAACAATGTATTGGGTAATAGCGATAACTACCTCTGACAGCTCCCAACGCCCCGCGCCACCTCTGACATGTGCGCGGCGTGTCAGAGTACGGACGGGCAGCTTGGGCAGCCAGCTCATCCTTATCCGGGCAGCTATTAGGGCAGGTATCTCACCCCTATATAAAGGGGGTGAGCCTTTCTCCTTGAACACATTCTATTTTCCATATTTCACTTCAGTATACTCATACACATACTGACTTAAGCATCAGAGGCTCTTCACCAGATACAACCCCCGGTGTGAGAGTTATTTGCAGGTTTCCGGCGTTTTACCGGTGAGGACCAAGATCTATTCGTTCAAACCAGACCAGGACGCTTACGCTTGCATTATTGGTGCCGTCTGTGGGGATTCCTTGTTCCAAAAGTTGTGTTTGAAGCTAAGCTATGGCGGACGGAATTCCTAAAAACTTGCAGTCGACGTTCGACGAAGCTTGGACGACGACTAGGCCGTTGGGGCACGACCCTCCTCTGGGTTTTTCCGGCCCATTGCAGACTCCGATCACTCCCGCACCTATCCTTCAAGGTGTGGGAGTGACGACGGCGATTCCCGGAGGAGATGCCAGCTCCAGTCGAGCCCAGGAGGCTCGTGTAGCAGCAGCAGCGGCGATGCCACCACCACCACCACCAGATCCAATAAAAGGGCAGGGAGGAATGCTGGCGCAAGGAGGAGTGCCACCATAGGCAGCCGTACAAGCCCCCGGCCAAAAAATAGTGGCGATGACCCGAGAGGAGATGCAGAAGATAGCGGCGGCCGCGGCGGCGCAGACGGTGTAGCAAGTCGCGAGTCATACATCTCATGCCACCACTGCGCCGACCACGGTGGCCGGAAGCCAGGATGAGGATGTGTCTAGTTATGGAGAAGGAGGAGCTGGAAGGGATCGGGCAATGGAGAGAATGGCGGAGCAATTGCGCCAGCTGCAGGACAAGGTGGAGGGAAGGTCAGA